CTCTCCCCCCCTTCTTAACTGAAGTGCAGAAGGACGCACTTGCTCCCTCCTTCCCTGAAGATTCTTCTCTATCCATAACATAAATCGTCCCCATGCGTTTTGCCAGACGCGGTGTCACTGTGCGCCCAGGCAGTGGCCTGTGGGGCGCTGGGAATCGCTGCCTTTCACCTAAGAGGCTTAAAATTCGTTGTTTGGTTGGTTTCGTTCTGTTTTTAAGTATGAAAAAAACTGTCAGGACACCAGAAGGCAGCTGCCTGGTGAGGGGGGCACACTCTGCTTCCACCGAGGGCCAGTGGGGGTGCTCTGCCGTGCACACGCAGCCAGAGAATGTTGGCAGGGCACGAGGAGACCATGTGTCGCTCTTGTTTCCACCCAGAAGGTCCCCGACAGCAGCTCCGTCCCCCAGCCATCTAAAGCCCCTCTGCCTGGGAGGGCTGGGCCTGGGTCTTCCTGCCTGTCGGTACCAGGGAGCCGAAGGGGTCATAGTCTGGGGTGCAGTGGTTAACCGGGCCACTTGTCAGGGGACATGTGGTGACAATTGGGGTTTTCATGGCTTGAGGGGTGCTGATGGCCTCTAGGCAGGAGCCAGGGGTGCTGCTGAATATCCCTCGACATTCAGGACAGCTGAGGTTGGCACTCAAGTCTGTGGGAAGGGGCTTTGTCAGGAGGGGACAGCAGCGAGCTTTGAGGCTCCGAGGTTCCGAGTGGGGTGCAGATGGCATGGGCCATCTAGGGCATCTGGGGGGAATGGCTGCTGCCCAGTAAACCCAGGACTACTCCTGGTCATTGCAATAACCAAAACTGGGCCCACAGTTCCCCCCCGGGCAGTGCCACCCTGTAAGACCTGCCACCTTTATTTATTTTTTCTTCCAGGAAGACTCTGTGCTAAAGGCCAGACCGAGTTCCCACACATCCCTTTTTATGTGTAAGTGACAGTCCCCCCAGGTGGAAGTTTACCTCAACTTAAGAGATGAAGAAGAGAAAGTTACAGAGGTGACGTCCCTGTTGGTGGCTGATCCCCCGGGAGCCCGGGTTTCCTTATCTGTCATGGGGCCCCGATGCCAGTCCTGCTGTTCCACACGTGTTTCATGTGCAAGTGAAGGAGGTCTGACCAGGGGAGGTGTCGGCACGAGGAAGTTGTGACGGTGTCGTACCTGGAAGAGCTCAAACCCTCGTGCGTAGTGAAAAGCTGTGGTCACCTTCCGTGGGCTTAGCTGCCATGGTGTCGGGGACTTGGTAGATCGAGGCTGGATGTGGGCTGACATCTGGGGTTACAGAGTGGAGGCAGATGTCCTTGGACTGACGCGGTGGGTGCTGCTTGTCATGTCACTGAACACGCTGGGGACATGACATGGTTGCAAACCCAGTCTTCTGTCACGGTCAGGTCTTACAGCAGGCCTCCAGCCTGACAGTGAAGCCCCGAGTCTCAGCACAGTTCCTCCTGTACGCTCCTCCAGCCCCCGCCTCTCAGAGCCTGGCTGGGCATCAAGGTGGCCTCAGGGACTCGTAAAAAGTTGGGCTCCGGTGCCACCAGACCAGCCCAATCAGAACCCCTGGGTGTTGGTGTTTCTTAGGCACTCAGTGCCCCGCTGACCCACGCAGACACGTTGCAGCCCAGTGTGGGACGCTCCTCCATGGAGGGCAGGTGGCGAGGCTCCGGGTGGTGGGTGGCAGTGCCAGGCTGCCCAGCTCCGTGCTCTGCACTCAGAACCCAAGACGGTGGGCAAGCAAGCAGCTGGGCAGCTCCAGCCCTCTCTGCCTTCAGCCATGTCATCTTCCTGTGTCACAAAATGCTGTTTTGGGGATTCTCCAGCCATTAAAATGTGAACACCCTCTCCCCGCGAACTGTGCCAAGACGGGCTGGGCAGTGTCAGCTGCGTGTGCTCTGCACGTGCGCCCCAACCCGTCCCGTCCAGCGCAGAACAGGGTTCTAGGAGGAAAGCAGGTGCACTGCCCTGAGCCCTGCGTGTTTCCATGCCAGTCACCTCCGGCCTTGGGCTTTGTGGCCCTGGTGATGCTCGTCCCTCTCTACCCATGTCAGAGGACACCCAGCCTCCTGGCCTCCTGGCCACGTGCCCCTGAGTTGTCACCTCCCTGTGCCTGGAACCATCTCTTCCATACAGATACACTTATGTCCCCCTCCCCAGCCTTTTTGATCTCTTCAGATGTCCCCCCTCAGTGAGGCCACCACTGAAAAGGCACCGTGAGCCTCCCCTGAGGGGAAGAGTCCTCGTGCTCTCACCCCCAGGGCTGATGAAGAGTCTGAGGCCCAGTGTCCCCTGTGGGCCTTCAGGGCTCCTCTGCCTTCCCTCCTCCCCAGACGGTGCTCGGTACGTGGTAGGCACATGCTGTGGGCTCAGGGGGGCGATGCTGAGTGCAGGGACAGATGGATCCCTGGAGTCCCCTGCCTGGAGAGCTGGTGACCGAGCCCAAACTGATGGGGCCTCCACCAGAGGAACACGGTGTCTGTGCTTGACTCAAGACAAAAGAGGGTCTGGGGCAGCAGTGATGAATGTGCCGACCCTGTGAGCCGCTGTGAGCCACCATGGTGAGGCCCGAGGAGGGCAGGGCCATCGGTGCTGGGCAGAGAGGCCCCTTCCCAGAGCTTGATGGGCACTTGTTATTTTAAGTCCTGTAAGGACTCTGTGCCTGTCCAGACCTGCCCAGGTCTGTCACTGGTTCACGTGGCAGAGCTGGGGCAGGGGCATCGGGTGGTGAATGTTTCTGAAAACCTAAGAAAACAAAGAAAAACTGCAAAAAAATATTGAAAGAAGCTGTGTTGGGGCCCCAGACAAGTGTGTCTTCCTGTGTCCCCGAATGCCACCTGTATCTCTTACCCAGTCGTGATGACCAGAAACGTCTGCAGACATTGCTAGGTGTCCTGGGGGATGGAGCTGGGACAGGACAGAGCTGCCCTTTGTTGAGAACCAGACCCTGTTAGCAGATAGTCCTGGGGGAGGGTTCATGTGTGTTCAAGCATGTGCGGGGCGTGCAGAGGGTGCACGTGTGCAGGGTGTGCAGAGGGTTCATGTGTGTGCACGTGTGTGCGGGGCGTGCAGAGGGCGCACTTGTGTGGGGTGTGTGGAGTGTGTGGACGCGCTGTGTGTTGGTGACTCTGTATTAAAGCCAAGAGCCCCGCTGGCTCCTCCAGTTCACCCCAGGGTTGCTAGAGGTTCTCCCCCCACCTGCCCATCCCTGTCTGGTAGAGTCCCGTCTCCGTGGTGCGTCCTCTGTGCACTGCCCTGCTCCGCCCTGGTGTGCAGATATTCTCAGAACTGGTCGCCCGTGGGCAGTGAACTTGGGAAGCTGGGTTTCTTGGCCCTTTGTACACACGCCTCTTGTAAAATCCTCAGTTCCCAACAAAGACACGAGACTGGGTTCCGTTGAGAGTGGTGACCTGTCTGTCCTTTACACCCTCACGTCTCAGCACCATGCCTGGCACTTAGTAGGTGGGCAGGGAAAATGAGTGCCGTGGTATGGTTCTGAAGTGGCCTCAAGGGCCCCTGTGTTACAGGTGAGGTCCCCAAGCCGTGGCCCCAGGCGAGGAGGTGGTGGAAACCCTGAGGGGTAGGGCCTCGGGCGGTTGAGTGGCTTTGTCCACCACGTGTGTCACCCAGAAGCCTCCGACTGAAGCCTCCCAACCTGGGAGCCAAAGTGAACCACTCCCTCTGCACTGGTCGCTCCCAAGGGCACCCCTGCTTGACCTGGCCATGCTCCTCGGCGGCTCTCCTGAGTCCCCCCAAGCCTGCATCCTGTTCAGGATGCACCACGGCCAGGACCCTTCCCTCCTCCAGGTCCCATCTGAGATGCCTGGGCCTCCAGGGGAACCTCCCAGCCTCCCGGGAGCCTGCCCCTCCTTCCACCTCATAAAGGCCAGTTTGAGAAGCGGACTTGTAATCTCCCCGTGGAAGGAGAAGCAGAGGGTTCTGGAAAAGCTGCTTCTGTGAGCGCTGGCCAGGCATGCCCAGGACCCAGCTGGACCAGAGCTGGTGACCTGCGTCCTGGGAGGCCAGAGGCTCAAACCAGACAGACCTGGGTCCAGATTCCTGCTCAGCCCTGCCTGCCGGGTTCCTAACTCTCCAGCTCAGACTAGGAGAGCGGTAAAGTAGAGGGAAGGGGTGGAAATGCTTTTGGGTGACTTTGATGCCACACTTGTTCATTCATGGAACGCAGGCTGGTTCAAAGCCCGCTCCCTGCTGGCCATTCCTCAGGGAGCTTGTCCTCACTAGGAAGCTGCCTACCCCTCTTCCTGACATCCATTTTAGGTAGGTCTTGTGGTGACCCATTTTACAGATGAGAATATGGAGGCTCAGAGAGATGAGATCATCTGACCCTAAACATTAAGACACAAAAGAATATCCTCGGGGTTCAGACTCAGGTTGATCCAGTTCCCAAATGCATATTATTTCTTTGTCCAACTCCACAGTCCCTGCCAAGACCCGGCCCAGCCTAGGAAGTCACTTGCTGCAGGCCAGGAGGGGCCTGGGAGGTCTGGGAGGTACTGAGTGTTGACATAGGGTCTCTGACAGGCATGGTATATAGTTTTAATTATGGTTGTAAGGGGTGAAATCTGAGAACTCGGGTGGGTGGCCTGCGGGTCCTTTGACCTTCTGATGCACTATCTTTCAGGTCCACGGGATGAGTACCTGGTGGAGTCCTGGAATGTTCCGGAATCAAGACTCTAGAGATGCAATCCCATGTTAAATGTTTATAACAGTCAAAATATTTCTCTGAAATTGGCCTCTCTCTGCCTAAAATCCTCAATGGTTCACCCGTGGCCCTCCTAACACAGACTTCAAGGTTTGTCCACATCTACAACTGGACCTCTCTCTCTTTGCTTCCCGGCCCTCCAGTTGGCTTCTGCTATACTTAGTGCCACAGGGATTTTGCACATGCTGTTCCCCTCTCTGCTCCCTTGGTCTGTGAATTCCAGCTCAAATGTCCCTTCTGTGGCAACAGGGACTATGGAAGAGTTCTTTGCTACTCCCAACACTAAGGACATCTTCCAGGGTTTGCTCCCCAGAGTCTACACTTAGCACTTCCCACGCAGGGTCCTTTTAATCTCTTTGCCCCGTGCCCCGTGGCATACGCTGTATTCTCCTGTTTGTGGAGAACTTGGGGAAGGATCAGAAAAGCTCTGGGTCTTCCCTGTGAACTTCCCTGTTTCTGGAGTCCTTGGGTTACATACAGCAGGAGGCTTTTCACCGACACCACAGGTTAAATAGGATCCGATTGTCTCCAGGTTCACTTTTGCAGAAGGACTGGGGGAGGGGAGGACACGGTTGACACAGGCAGATGCGTCAGCAAGAATCTGTTTTGCTACATTGACGACATCAGTACAACTTTTATCCTAAAATGGCCTTTCAAGGGCTCTGCTTCAACATTTCCTCTCCTCCAATTCTGGATACGCTTAAGCAAAGTCACTGGCCCACAGCAGGAATGTAAAGTAGGTTGGTTTGAATTTCGAGCCTGTGCTTTTAGATACTTCCTCTTTTTTATTGGTTCCTTTTAGTTATACAGGACAATAGAGTCCATTTTGACATATTTGTACGAGCATGGAATAGATCTGATTCTAATTAGGACCCCAGTCTGGTGGATGTACACGACAGAGAGATTCACTGTGGTGTATTCATAAACGTGCATAGGAAAGTTATGTCTAATTCGTTCCACTGTCTTTCCTTTTCCCATCCTCCTTTCTTCCCTTTATTTCTATTCCCACTCCTTTGTAGGTGAATTTCCACATATCAGAATAAAAGATATTTGTTTCTTGGCACTGGCTTATTTCACTTATCATGATAGTCTCTAAGTCCATCTATTTGCCAGCAAATGTCATGATTTCATTCTTCTTTATGGCTGACTAATATTCCATTGTGTATATATACCACATTTTCTTTATTCGTTCATCTCTTCCAGGGCACCTAGGTTGGCTCCATAGCTTAGCTATTGTGAATTAAACTGCTATAAACATTGATGTGGCTGCATATTTACTTCTCTTTTAGGTAAAAAGGGTGAGGCTAGTATTGGGAGGGTTGACCAGTTAACTGAGCTAATTTTTTCTTTGGTACCAGGGATTGAACCCATAGCTTAGCCACTGAGCCACATCCTCAGCCCTCTCTTATATTTTATTCAGAGGTAGTCTCACTAAGTTGCTTAGGGCCTTGCTAAGTTGCTGAAGCTGGCTTTGAACTTGCAATCCTCCTGCCTCAGCATCCCCAATCACT